AAAATAAATATCCATCCATCCATCCATTATCTTTACCCGTTTATTCCATTTTGGGTCATGGGGGTCGCTGGTGCCCATGTCCAGCAATCACTGTGCGAGGGGCGGGGTACACCCTGGACGGATCGCAAGTCCATCACAGGGACACATAGAGACAAACGACACTCACTCTCTCACTCACACCTAGGGACAATTTAGAGTTACCAATCAGCCTAACATGCATGTTCTATTTCATATAGGCTTCGCCCTTTAAGGCTTTCGCTTAGTGGGTTTATCCTGTTATGCGTAGCATTTGCACTGAAAAATTTAGTCCACGCCCACCTGCTGTGTGGGCCCCACCTGGTCCGTATAAATTACGTTAAGAGCGGGAAATCGGCTCCCATTTTTTCTTCAGCGAGCTAAAATAGCACTGTCAGAAGAACAAAGAAGGAAAATTGTGTAGATGACCAACCTTTGTTAAGGATGCTTGGCCCGGCAGTCGACCTCCGGTCGTCCGGTGAGTTCTCCTCCCCGAGGAGAAGCTGACGAGCAGTCTTATTTCAAGGTAAGCGCCGAGGAATATTTCTCAGTGACAGGTCACTACACGCTGGACAACGCCATCTTGTATTGTTCCTCTTATCGCCGACCCTCGGAGCGAATCGGATGGTTCCTCCGGGACAGGGGCGCTCAGCTGCAGCCCCGCTGCTCATTCCCTCCTGGGTAGCGTAGTGTCTGTGGAGGGGGGCTGAGTGAATGCTCACCCCATCCCACCTCGTTTCGCATCGGTGATCACACCGCTCCCGGCCGACGGCGCTCTCAGGGGTTGCCCGGCGTAACCCAGGATGCTTCTGACATGAAAGGACCCTTTTTTACGTACTACGCCTTTCCCGCCAGTTCGGATGATCCGGCGGGAAGGTTGTTTACTGGGTTCCATTCCGACTCACCGTCTTGATCCATATGGCCTCGTGTTCCCAACAGGACGTCCTACGGGCGAGGCCACAGACTGGGTTTTTTTCCTGGTAGATTGGGGGAGCTGGTCTCCACAGTCCGCACCCATCCCCAGAGCAGGGGTTCACTGAGCGGAAAGTCCCTCCGTGCCCCCTGGAGCCGAGCCTGATGGAGGTTTCATTGGAGTAAGATGTCGAGGTGGACCAGCGTCCCGTGCCTCCGGTTAGCATAACCGAGACGGTGACACCGCTCTCCAACTGAGCTCACCAGCATGTGTTCCACACGGCCGCAGCGAACAACACGTTACGCTGTTGGCGTACACGTTCAGAGGCGGGAAGAGATGATGGCCCTCTGTCCTTCGGCCCACTCTGCTCTCGTAGCAGCTGCTTGCTAACGACGCAGCCGGCCCCTGAAGTACGCACCTTCTACAGGGCAGCTGACGTCATCCTCAACCGATGCGCCTCTTTTGCTGTCTGCCGCCCCGCATCGCAGCCGGAGAACGAAGTCCCAGAGGTTCTCCTGGCTCGTCACTCCACCTTCCTCTCAGGAGAGATGCAGGAGCCTTGTTGGAGGTCCTATTTTCATCAGCGAGAGATCATTTCAAGATGCTCCACGGCTGCACAATGCCTCCCCAGCTCTGCTACGCCAGCCCCTCTCGTCAGACGTCCCCGGCATCCGGAAGTTCATTTTGTTTTCCCGGACTTCGCCAACAGGGGGCCCTCCAGGACAACAAATAGAGTTCAACGAAAGGTAACTAGGTGTCGGGTTGCTGGAGGTGTGTTGATGACACTGTGAAATAACATCATTTTATGATGAAGTGTCCTTTAGCCAGGCTGTCAGCATGGTTTATCTGACAAGCGGCCCCATCACACACACTCATCACGAATGAGCCTTTTTTAAGGTTGTTTTCATTCACTGTCAGCGGTGCCGATGCGCGCTCCCGCGACATGAAAGCGCGCACGCAGCTCTCAGCACCCGCCGTTCACGTCAACGTTAATGTGAGACCACGGTACGAGCTCAGCAACGTATCTCGCTCTCGGCAGAAGCGACACACGTTTTTTCATTGCAGTAGTGTCAAATGCGCGCTCCCGCGGCGTCAGCAGTTTCACAAGCTTCACAGCAGCTCTGCTCCTTCATCCTCGAAGAAGGGTTTCTGAATTAATACTGCAGCTCGTGGAATCATTCTGAAGTTCACGTGACTTGCAGCCAAGAATGAACGTGTTTCTGCAGACCGAGCCAGTGGTAGCCTCGCTCCATCGATGCCGCGCGCCGCTTCCTGACCGCACCAGTGCCAACGCGCGCTCCCGCGGCGTCAGCAGCTCCACAAGCCTCACAGCGGCTCGGCTCATACATCCTCGAAGAAGGTTTTTTCTGAATTAATATTGCAACTCGTGGAATCACTCAAAAGCTCACGTGATTCGCAGCAAACAATGAACGTGTTTCTGCAGACCGAGCCAGTGGTAACCCCGCTCCACCGATGGCGCGCGGTACTTCCTCACCGCACCAGTGCCAACGCGCGCCCCCGCGGCAATCCTGGCTTAAAGCGTCGCATGAGGACGCACACACACGACCCTTCGGGGCACGTCGGCTCATACGTGCACCCGCTTCCCAAGAGTTACATGGATCAGCTGCACACAACGTCTTGCATGCTCGGGGACGTGCGTGTTTTTTCTCTCTCACTCAGCGCGCTCCAGTTCACATCAGCATGTATGTGAGTTCACAGCATAAATGCGTGCCTGCTTTATAGCTTATAAACGGGTGGCAATGAACGCGCGCTTCCAGACGGATGGGCGAACCGTTTTCATCCGTGATTCACGCTGCAGTTCAGCTCAAACCCCGGTGTGGAGGAACTCTGTGACGTTTTTTCTGTCATTTATGAACAGATCTCGTCCCCTCTAGCAGAAGCTCAGGAAATTCTGTTTTAAATGTAATTTCTAGAGTCTCAGATGGAGAGGAAACGCAAGGTCTCTCTTATCACTTCCTGGTCCCAATGAACTGGAAAGATGAGATTTATTTTAGATTGTCAATTTCTGAGCTGTGAGAAACAACACTCCATTATGCGCCTGAGCCGTTTTTAATTCTGCTTTATCTGGACACCTGCTGCTGCTGAGCAGCTTGTACAGACAGGGGGCAGCAGTGCAACTCACGTGAATCGGTTGAGTGATATCAGCTGTTTTTCCGTCAGCAGACCTACGTCACACACATTTAACAAGCTGTGGGGCGCTGTGGCTCTCCATACAGCAGCTGTTTTAAATGTTTTTGGAGTGTCGCACGGGATCTTTGAATGTGGCTCAACACTGACCTTGAGCTGCAGAATCATCAGGGTTTTTGATTCTCAGACAGCAAGTGACTGTTGCATACATACTGGCAGGAGATGTATGCGCTTTTTCAACCCATGTGCCACATTGTGAGACAGATGCTGTGTGGGGCACACCCAATCTGCTCTCCATTGGAGTGGGTACATCTCATGTATTCCACCCAGAGCTATGGCTCAGACACGGTAGAAATCCTGCCAGCGTCTGTGGACGTGTAGCAACACGAGAGAACACTCAATGTCAATTATAATTATCGTGGGGCCACGGGACGATCCACCGCTGGGTGGACGTGCCTGCTCACAGCCTGTGGTCGCAATGCCTTTTCACCTTCTTCTCTTCCTCTGGTATCACGGTTTTCTGAACCGAGCTCAGGAGGAGGGACTGGCAGCTCCTCTGCCCCAAGTGCGTGAACGCATCATGGTTCCCAGGCCTATGACATTTGTTATCAGGGAGCTCGTGGAACCTGTCGTGGAGGGAGGACGTTTTCCTCCAGGCGGGAGGAACGATCAGGAATTAATCAGAATAGGCCAGCACCTGTGGTTTGGCCACTGTGCGGATCCTTTTGAGAGGATGGATCTCTCTCAAGATGTAGTGCGTACGATTCAGGAGTCACGTGCTGCAACCACCACAGCGCTGTTCACATCAAGTGGTCAGTTTTTCAACGCTGCTGTACAGAAAGGCGTAGAGGCCACTTCATGTCCACTGGACGACATGCTGTCTTTCTGCAGCAGCCGAGGGACAGAAATCTGGTGTCCAGCACGACTATCGTATGCTGCAACCGTGTTTTCTTCTTGTCTCAAAGTTGTCGTAGACAGAACAACCTTTAATCATCCTCTGACGGAGCATTTTGTCTCAGATTGATATAGCAGCTGTGGGCCTGTTGTGACACGGGAAACGCTCAGTGTCAATTATGCGTTTCTCTGAGCCCGCGAGACGAACCACCGCTGGAAAGTGGATGCGTTTGTCCACAGTCCATGGCCCAAAATGCTTCTGTATGCGTTTTTCTCCACCTCCTCTGATCTTACGGTTCTTGAACCGAGCTCAGGAGAAGGGATTGACAGCTCTCCTGGTGGCCCCGAGCGCGTGAGTGCACCATGGTTCCCAGCCCTGCAACGCCTACTGTCGGGTGCCCGTGGAAACTGCTGTAGAGGGAGGACGCTCTCCTCCAGGCAGGAGGAGCGACCAGGAGTTACCCAGAAATAGGCCAGCACCTGTGGGTCTGGCCGTTGAACGAATCCACTTAGAGAGGATGGGTTGCCCACAGGATGTAAAGCGCAAATTCAGGCTTCTCGTGGTGCATCCACCACAGCGATGTACACATTAAAGCGGACAGGTTTTCAGTGCTGGTGTACAGAGAAGGGTGTAGAGGCCTCCTCATGTTCTTTAGGTGGCATGCTGTTCTTTCTGCAGCAGCTGATGGACAGAAATTTGCATCCAGCACGTTTGAAACGTATGCTGCAGCCATCTCTTCCTGACATGAAGGTTTCTGAGACAGAACAGGTTTTATCATTCGCTGATGAAGCGTTTTCTTAAGGTGTACAGAGACGCAGGCCTGTCTCACACCCACTTGTTCCAGTGGGATTTAATACTGGTCCTGCAGGTCATGATCAAAGCTTCATTTGAGTCTTTGGATCAGGTTCCACTTAAATTCTTGTCTCTTTAAACAGCACTGCGGCTGGCTTTAACATCCGCTAAGAGAGTGAGTGTTTTTATCTGCCCTCTCTGTCGCTCCGTCATGTCTCAGAAATTAGGCTGACGGCAGCTCAGCTGATTTTAGACCAAAACCCAGCTTTTATGCCTAATAAATCACGAGCTCTTTTAATCAAGAGCGATATCGTTGAAGGGGTTGTCTCCCCCCCCCCACACAGATCAGAAGAAGTAGCGTCTTGTTATCTCCTCTGTCCGGTGCGGGCGTTGACGTGTTACATAGCGTCCACAGCTGCAATGCGTCATGTTGATGTGTTCATGCGTGCACATCTGCTCACAGACTCATGTTCATGTTTGTGCTGATGTTCAATGTTTTATGTTATGAGTGCTTAGTGTATATTTAGTTGATGTTTTTCTTAGTTCATATCTTAGATGT